AAATAATGCTCTCACTCGCATTGCCTACCTGAAATAAACTAAAAAGTCTTTGTCAATTAGTATCCATCTGTCTCGCGACTGTTTAAATATAATTCCGTAGAAAAAGCAATATTGAAATACATCACTGAGCAGTATCCACCAATAAAATGCTACACGTACAACATAAAATCGAGAAAAGCCAAAGAACTCACGGGTTCCTTGACATCGCCAGCAACCGATAGGCCAACAAACCGAGTGTATGATAAACCAGGCCTTGTACATGCACAAAACAAGTAAAAGAAAACGTTAGAATACTCAAATTTTACATTTATTTTCATCAAATATGCTTGTAAACAACGCATACCTCAACCCCACAAACCTGCACACGCATCACCTAACAAGGACAAATTAAATATCAAATTAGCCACCACTGTTCCAGCCAATGAAAGACGAGAAAACCTGAGTCGCGGAAAATTTAGCACATTATATCCTATATCCTCACCCAAAACAGCTAACCAGAAGATGTTGCTTCTCTGCTAACAATAACGAAAAATAATGTACATAAAAATCTATGAATATCTCTTGAGTTTCTCAATAAACGATCCATTGCTTGTCCCTTTTCTTCCATTGTTACAATTTCAGGTCATCTGGGAAGATGAATGGTAAACCATGTGAGAAACAGGCGCATATATCGTTGAAATAAAGAGTAAATAGGAATGGCCCTGTGATACTACCCTGAACTACACCAGAAGTGATTAATCTAGGCTTAGAAGTTACAAACCCGAGTATAATTATTTGAAACCTGCCGTTAAGGAGCGATTTAGGCCATCTTAATAGTGGGTCACGTATTCCTTAGGAATTTAGCTTATGTATCAACAGTAAATAGTCGACGCCGTCAAGTGCTTTAGAAATTTCAAAGTAGATGGCAAGTATTAGTTGTCGTTTGCCAAGGCTACTGGTCACAAAATTAAAGAAATCTAGGTGGCATGTTAAAAATGGTCAGGATTTTAGGAATCCATGTTGGTTTGGACTTACAACATTGCAGGTAAGCATATGTTCGAACATGTTATCTTTAACCAGTCTTTCCATAATTCTAGATGCTATGGGTGTAATATTGATCAGCCTGTAGTTGTTGATTTCTGTTTTCGAGCCTCATTTGTGTTTAGGCGTAATAAATGTCGTTTTCTATGTACCCTGGTAGGTTTGGGTTTCTAAGGACATTGTGAAGATTTTAAGCAGTAGTAATGGAATGTCAGGACCATCATAGTTATAGAAATACGATGATAAACCGTCAGTATCAGCTTTAGAGAGTCCTAATGGCTTGGTTAATGTTAACATAAGTGAACTCAACGGTACTATTTTGATTTGGCGTGAGTAAAGATGGAAGTTGTACCATATTAGTAGTAAGGTGTATACCGAGTAATAAAACTGGAGGCTTAAGGTAGTTAGCTGAAAATGTTTTGTTGCATAATTCACACATGTCAGCAGAGTAATTGTATAACCCACCTTTGTCGATGGAGAGAGAAACGCTATGATTCCTGCGATCCAATCGCCTCTTTAGGATTTCTGTGAGAGAATACACCCTAGCAGGGATGACTGGTGTGGTGCGTTCTTCATTCCTTATACGCAAGACTCCAACTTGTGAGATGAAGCTAAGAGCGTTAAGTATTAAACCCAGTGTGCCGAAGTTGTGGTGTTTGAAGAAACTTGTCGAGAGTGTCTTCAGTTTTGTACGATCCTTTGGTTCTATGGATGACTTACTATGTCGGGAAACTTTTGGTGTTTGGATTGGAATGGCAGCATCTAAGCATGTGTTTGAGTTCTGCTGGAAGATGCTCAGAGCTCTCGAGAGGTCATCATTAGTGAAGTAAGCACCCTATTCAGAGTATCTTAGCATTGATTTTACGAAAGCCCAGTCTGCCTTACTACACTTCCTATATATTATAATATATATTTTGTATAAACGGGTGTTGACAATAAATGCATGCCATTTTTGCGGGCACTGTCAGTTATGTTATAAATTACAATTGTGAATTAGCATAGATTAGCACTTTTTCGAAAGTATAAATTGTTCAGTTATGGTACAAGCAATCAGAACAGGTTCTTATAAATGTTAAATTGTAAACACTTCACTAGGCTGCATTACTGCTCAGTGGAAGTGGCAGTGCATACAGAACTGTTATATGCTATCTACCTGAAAGCGTAGAGGCCATTAAGATTGAAAAGACTCTTAAATTGCGACACAATCTTACGTCTAGTACTCTGCCGTCGTTTATAGGGATGGTGACTGCTAGTTTTCGGCCGAAAATGTCCGGTGTACCAAAGTGCTTGTCATCTTTAGCTGGACCTGTTAATAAGTCCTCGTTGACTTCGGGTGGGTTGAAGTCTCCACATATGTTTTTATGCTCGCATGGGAGAGTGGATACTTGCTCCAGTACATCAATGAGTTGAGTCTCGTAGTCACTAAAGGTGTCAGGTAGTGTTTTGGAAGTGTACATTGACCCACAGGGTGTCGTGCATGTCGTTGAGTTCCCTATTTCCTGGCTGTAATACGGTAAGTGTGTTCAGGAAGCAGATTAGGCAGCCTTCTCCCTTACCACTGTTCCTATCACATCGAAAGCGTGTGTACCCATCGATGCTTATTTCTTCATCTGGTATATTGGAGCGACAACAAGATTCAGTAATAATGATTATGGAGGGTTTATATACCAGTGTGTTTGCCCTGATCATCGGTAGTTTGTTTAGAATAGATCCAGCATTAATAATGATCAGGTTAAGTTGAGAGTTGAAGTAATGTTTGAGGCATTTAAGCTCGTTAATCAGGCACAAGTGTGGTTCGACATCCACTGGTTCCACGTGACATAGCAACCCTGTGTTACAATTGGTGTGACTACTGTTTTCACCTATGTCTGTCGAGTTACTATTTACTTCTTTTAGTGAATAAGGAGTTTTGTTATTGGATTCACTACAGAATAAGGTGGGCTTGGGTGGGTTGGAGACTAGAGTAGGAGTTTTATTTGGCCTATGTTAGTACAAGCATGGGATGTGGTTAATAATTGCGTGTGCACTAGTCTGTGTCTGTTTTCTTCCCGATAGGGAGCCGATACTAGTGGTACGGGTTCAAAAGATTTGACATCACCAGCTGTTTGGTCAGCGCTGACGGGGATGTTGCGGGTAAAGAATCATTGGTGTATTGTGATGCCCATGGCTTATTAATCTGCCTAATTTTTGGAGACATTCTATGTGTCCTTACGTGGGTTTTGTTTTGTGCATTGCTACACTGTGGTTTAATTCTCAGCAGACTTGTGGCATACATTGTCAAAGTTTGTTTGTGTGTCATACTTTGAAGACCCAGAGTGGTTGGGAGCTGAGATTTGAGTGCTGTCACCTGTACCATTTTGCGTGATGATGTTGCCACGCCAGCTATCAGTGTGGGCTTTAGTATGACGGCATATTATGCAACCATGTTCTGACGTTATGGTCCATGGACCGTGTGACCCTATATCTGCCTCTGGTGTTCTTGTTGGTATTATTTTTTGTCTCACTTCCCTTACAGCGTGAATTCTTCTCAGGAGTTTGAAAATGTGGAGGATTTTTCCTTACGAGTGGTGTATTCTAGCATGTTTTGTTACCCAATCCCGTTTGAACTCTCACGTTACTGCTAGGAGATGATGTTGTCAACTTACGAGGGGCATGTATTTCTGTCTTAGGGCTATCCAGAGACATATCTAGATCCACGGTAGAGAGGATAGGGGCTATATCATGAGAAGGATTATAATCCACTAGCCTTTCGGATGGTGTCGTGTTCTGTGGAGCTAATTTTGCGAGGTCTGAGAGGGAGGGCTATGAGTTCTACGATTTTGACTGTGGGTTTATCTGTTTTTGTGTCTTGCAGTGTCTTACTCTTCTTACCATTAAGTTTAGTGAGATGGTTGTAAGCAAGCCTTTCAGTCACTGTTTTATTGGCTACAACTTTTATTTGTTTGTAGCTCGTATCCTGTAATAGGATACTTTGTGAATTGATGAATTTCTTAGCCTTGTCAGTGTTTCAAACTGAGGACACATAGGGAAGCAGTAGTCGTCCTGATTCTTTCAGTCTGTGGCGCTTTGTTTCAGAGTAAGGCATTTCCGCCGACCTAAGTAAGATGCCTTGAACTTGTTTAAACCCCCCTGATTACCTGGTATATTGTAGACTATCACACTTAGCTTTGTGTCTAGTCTTTTGATAACCTCTGTTATGATGATGTTAATCAGAATGTCTACCTTGGTTACTGATTTTGTGTCAAATTCTCCGGGGTTTATAGTTCCGGTCAGGATGCTCAGAGGTGTAAGTTCACAGACCTGCGATGTTATTTCACTAATCTGTGTGGATAGTTCAGATATGCTGGCCATATTTTCTGAACATCCCGCATTCACAGCCTTACTACACCTTATGTCCCGCATCTCAGTCTTCAGCTCTTCTACAGATAGCTTTAGTCGTTCTGTTTCTTAAGTAAGTGTTGAAGCTGGACTCGGTATCTGAAGTTTCGTGGCACATGCATAGGGATTAATTAAAAAGGTCTCTGTCAGAACCAGGTGCTGAGTTTGTAGAAGCGATGCTACTACTAGTTGTCAGCATGTTTCTGTTGTCAGTTCCAGCCACGTTAGATAGTAGCGACGCGGCATCTTGACGCTCGCGGCGTATTGGCGTGGTGTGTGACTCGTGTATAATCATATCAGTTGTAATTTGAAGTGGCGTAATGCTGGACGTTTCCAGGATTTGATTGAAAGTCTATATCAGCATCATCGAGACTGGCAGTAGGTGTTTCAGATGCGTGACATTTTCATTAAGCTCCCAGTGGGCACTGATGCTTGTTAAAGCTACTCTAAAATGTTGATAAAGTCTGATATGAACGTGAACTTCATATTAAGTGTTTGGTCGTAGTATCAGATATTTATAAAGTCAGAAAGAAATAGCTCATTACTTCTGCAACGGAGAGATTCGGAAATTTGTTTCTGTGACAGCATTTGATACTATAATTATGGGCGCCGTTTCAATTTTGTTCTCTAGCTTCGTTTGCGCGGCTGTTTCATTTGAGGTTTGTTGGTTAGACTTTTTAAGATGGAATTGCATTGGCTAAGTAAGACAATAGCAGACACCATGAGGTACCTTGCTTCTTACCTTGGGAGGCTAATCAGAATTTAGGAGAGGTAGAAGTTACGAGGTTGTTTAAAGGGGGACCATAGATTATGGGGTACTCGCGATCGTGATTTCAGAACAGTTTAAGATTCTTCCATATTTTTGATTCTGTTGTTTAATCTAACCCAAGAAGCCTAATCTTCGCGAAATGCCAGTTATTGTCCAGTAGTTTTACATAGCTGCAATCTATTTTTTGCCACAGGTGACGTTTGGAAATCCACTTCTGTAATACTCATTATCTGAGTTAGTAGTGCTTTAGTTTAGTACTCGCCATCTTCCAGATACAAAATTGGGACACTGATTAGTGCGCTGGGAAAGAAGCATAATTACCGTTGTCCGGTTACTATTTTCTTCATGGCTTATTACAGTAAACGTATAGTCGACTATACGTAATCAAGGATCCTTGACTACGTCTATGCTGATTCATCAGTTTTTCCGCTAGAAATGGATTTATTTAAAATCGGTAATAATTAATTGTTACTCACTCAGAAACAGATGACTAACAAGTGATAAGCTGAGTTATAAACAAAATATTTGAAGCCAGTAAAATATGTGTCTGATAGGCAATGGAGGGGATAAAGTGGTGGAATCGTTCCACAGAAAAATCGTATCTCCAGCTTTCTTCTGTGGTTAAGTGGTACCTCAAATGGCCAGGTGCTTTTCGTACGAATGCATTTCACTGCACATTGTTGAAAATTACAGTTCCGTGGAGAGTCCTCCGTTCTCATTCACTTCGCCGAGCGAGAGCCTCTCGGTGTATGATGAGTTTTCTTCCTGTATTGTCTGCTTCCAGTTTGGCATTCATGTCGCCTATAAGCATTTTAATGTTTCCATTTGGAATGTTGCCTATTAGTGTCTTCAGTTGTCCATGGAAATCTTCCTTTTCTTACTCCAACTTGTTCACAAATGCTTAGCATAGGATGATCGTTACCTTCCTTCCTTTTGATTTGAACGTTGCTGTCATTATCCTGCAGCAGGAAATTGGTTTCCACTGTATTAGAGCTTTGGCTGGTGTTGTTGACGTCATGATAACTACTGCCTGAGGATATTCGTGGTTGTCGTCTGGGTGACCGGAGTAGATTACTGACTCTCCAGTCGACAATTGAGCTAGTCCTCATCACTGATTTATAATACTTCTATGCCATATTTTTTCATTTCTTTGGTTACCTGATCAGCCTGCCCAGCTTCGTACATTGTACATTGCTTTCATCGAGAAGGGGCACTACCGATTGGCTTCCCGAATGTGGGATTTCACCAGGCCGCTGTGTCATTTCGCCTCCGATTCCAGCAAAAAATATATTCCATATATATTTATATATATACATATTCAATATTTTTCATATTTTTTGGTGCGTGGAAGCTTGTTGAGCAGTTTGATTGGTTTTCCGAAGTAGAGTCTTTAGCCCCACGCCCAACTCTCCCTCTTTTCCTGAGCTTGGGACCAGCTGGAAAACTAGGGAGCTAGTAAAACTAGTCGAGGCTTGTATTTAGTATAACTTGTATAATTTTTAGGCTGTTAGTGACCGAAGAAAAGCTGTGAAATAAAATCACATACTTTTATCTTTTGCGAAAATGTTCGTCCTTGCATTGTGTAAAGAAGTAATTTCTATAAGATGGAACGTGATGTCTCACTCGGTGGGGTGGTCACCAATCCAAGAAGTTATCAACTTATAGTCTGTGCTAAATAGGATTGTAGATTGCGTATCTAGGATTTTTGAGATACCACAAATCGATGATCGGTAACTCTTAGTACTTTGGCTGAAGATCGTTCATAGTGGTACAGATTGATTTTTTCGTCTTTGGAATTTTAAACATCTTCACTATGCTGCACTGGATTTATTCTCCCTTTCACGCTTCCCCGTTGAAGTGTTATTAAATTCCTGTCCCCTTTCTGTATACTTTTGCGAAGTGAAATAACTTTTGTACTGCTGTTAGTCCTACTTTGATCTGTCTTATTAGCTGACACACTATGTATAGTTCATTATTTAATGCAAAGATCTGCACATATGTTTTACGTGAGTATTTCACAAGTAAAAAACAGGCTATAACTAGGAAATTCATAAATCAGTCTTAGTGTGACAGTACAATTACTATCTGGTATTTACTTTTTGCAGACTAACCTATCATCAATAATGTCTGCGGATTTTGTGGCGTGTTCTAATAATGTCGATTCACACGATTCTGTTCCCGAAACTGACACAGAAATTGCAGAAGCAGATTTAGAAGAAAAACAACGACTAATTAGTCAAGTTAGTCAAGTAGTTTTTATTTTTTGAATTTTAGCAATTTTTCCAAATTAATTCAATAAGAGATGTTTGTGTATAAGGCGACGAGTTTTTCACCTAGTTTCCACACACACAGGGGATGTTTAATGGAAGCACAAAGATATTTGTCGCATAGAAAAGTACTAGTATCTTCTTGCATAACTGTGAATATTCACCATATGTTTATGTATCATGAGCATACTCATCAGGAGCATTCAAAGGAGCGTCCATTACTTTGTATTGCTTTCAGAAAGAGGAGAAACAAGGGGATTTTAGTTTGTTAACCTTTGAGTTTAAGCGTCTCGGGCTGCTGACTTGGACTATCCCTTTAGCCTCACTAAGGTAGCCGTGATGTACCTACAGATGCTAACCCACTATCTATTCTTCATTGAACGGTATCGCCGAATACGAACTTCATAAAGAGCGATGATAAAGCACATAGGGTTGTCATCCATCTTCACCTTAGGGAGACCAAATTTCACAGACGTTGGGTGAAATTGCACACATAGAAGCGTCGTAAACCCAACCTTTGACAGCAAGACGAACGTCACAACAGTGCTGGGAATGGTGTAGTTTGGCGCAGACTTCATGGTTTCCACTCAACAAATAGAAATCTCATTCTCTACTCCACAAGTGGTTACATGATTAAACATGAGACGCTAATTAGCTACTTTCAGACTGCTGACCTCCATTGTAACACTACGTGTCACTTTCAAACATCACTGGAAGTATTTGCATACATGTGACCAAAACAACAGGCAGGTTTGACCTTATTATTGATGTATGCTGCCGAACCTCACTGTTAGATAACATAAAGGCTACCTAGATTAGACATCTAGACATTAGGGTCTTCATGGTATATGTGGTGTACCATCTAAGTGCAAAACACCTTCACCCTCCTAGGTGAACTGCTAGTAAAGTTCATGTATATATATGTATATTTAGCGCTTGGTGCCCATTAAATAACACTGCACCAATGTGTTTTTATCAAATAAAATTACTCTACAGTGGCATTATACTCTACCACGCTGCCCTGACTCTGTTCTCACATCAGTTGGATGAAGATAGTTTTGTGAATTTAACTGTTCTACTGTGGTCGACTGTAAGAGGTACTCCCTAAATTTTTTCATTGGTCTCATACGCTTTAATCAGAGCGCTGACCATGTCACTATTGCTGTTATAAAACTCATCTACCAAGAAGAGTTTTTTTTTCATTTATCAGGCTATAAACTCGACTAATTGTGTATACATGGAATGTTTATCTTACTCTGGTTGGTGGTCATTAATAAAATGTTTTTTTTAGTTCCACGTAATCTTTTTCTTGTTTTCTCTTAATTATTAACAAACAAACACATTTAAGAAATAAGTTGGTCATCAGATTGGTAAACTACTATCGGTAGCTGAATTCTTATTATTGATTAAAGAAAGACAATATAATGGTGACAATAAGGTGGCGTCAGATACTTACCAAAGGTCATTATTTTAATTACTGTTTCTTTTGCATAGAATAACTTAATTATTAATGTGAACAAAATTTTCAGTGCTCACTTTTCTTGCAGATTGTAAAGCAATTAAAAAAATCTATGGAGATATGACTCATTCAGATTATTGAATTAGTAAGGATTTTGGATTCAATACAATTGTGTTAGCTTTTCATCAGTTAGAGAGACCATTGAATATCAGGGAGTACTGGGCAACTGTTTCATCGTATGCTGGGACTGTTCAATGGTGCGCTTCTACGATCCCGTCAGAGATCGAACCCAGACCCTTCAGGTTGCGAGACCCAAGCTCACTGACCTTTCAACCACTTGGACTGGTTCATCCACGTAAACATTTGGCTTTCAGTCAGTGAGCCGTGGGTTCGAATCTGGGTCCACCTACTTTAACTTCACCAACTGGGTGGTAACTGGGTAGTTACACAATAAGTTTCTTATAGTCAGGTTTATTAAAAAGTCTATTCCAACTAAACATAAATCAACCTTTAGTAAAACATTTTTCATTTTTTTTGCTTTTATTACTGTTATTATTTCAAAAAAAATAAACAGATTTTAGAACTTCAGCATACGCTTGAAGATTTGTCAACACGTGTAGATGCTGTGAAAGAGGAGAATCTGAAACTACGCTCAGAAAATCAGATATTAGGCCAGTATATTGAAAATATGATGGCTAATTCATCAGTTTTCCAGTCGACTTCACCACTGTCCGATGGGAACAGATCACGTACAAATAAAAAGTTAAGAGATGACTAAGTGAAATGTGGAAAAAAGAAATCCAGATTAATCAGAAAACTTTAAAAGTTTATACATACATCACATTACTTCTGCAGTCAGTATTATTTAATAATTTAATAATATTTGTTTCATATTTTGCTTGTCTGCTATACCTGTTGGGAATTTCAGCAGCCAGTCAGTATACAAGGCATCAAAGCCTGCAATAATAATAATAATAATAATAATAATAATATGACGTTATTTTGACTATGCTGTTGCTTGATTTCAGCTGTCATTATTCATATTCTTAGTCTTTTTTTGGAAGATAATAATCTCGCTTTGCTTCTTTCTTTTTTCTTTTTTTGAAATTATGTATAAACTTGATCTATAGTGATATTTTGAAGGGTTATGTTGTGTCACATCTATTCACATTAACGCTAACTTACACCTAATTACTCCTTTGTATTGTGATCGTGGCATTTTTCTCATTTTGGATGAATGCTAACGTTTCTTTTGTTTATTTTTTGTTCTCATGAAATAGGCGTATGTGTACTTGCATTTAAATGTTGACGAGTAATAATGTGCGGCATTAATCTTATATACATATGCTTTGTAAACCAGTATATTTGTTAACTCACAGGTTACCAGTCTCTTATATTTCATTTTTTTTTAAAAAATTAAACAGAATATATTTATACTGATTTCTCTCTATCTCTCTGACATCGTGCTTGCTTTTGTGGTTGATCATGGAGTTTGGTATTTGAATTGTAAATGGTTGGACATGTTGTCCAGTTGTTCACTTATTTTGTTGGTGTGGTGGGAGGGTGTTGTGTCGGCCCTAAATGGATTTATTGCTGAAGAAATTTTGGTTTTCATGTGGTATTTGCTAGCTAGCGTCATCTTAAGTGTGGATAGGAAGAGAGGTGGGTTATCTGTCTATCGTATGATACATGACCATGGAGTTTGAAGCTATGAATAAAACTAGCCGCTTTTTGCTCGTTGGTGTTGGCGTTCTGTCTCTGGTGTTAAGTGATGTGATTTCTTAAATAATATTTTGGTTAGGCGTAGTGTATTAGCAAAGGAGGTGAAATCAATCGAAGAGGTTGTGAAGCTGCATCGATCGAGGTGCTACACATGCTGAGTCATCACCTTTTTTGTCGTGGCATGTTAGCTTATATATATTTAAGTTGGAAAAGTGCTAGAGGTAGTCAAATTAATACATGGCATCAATCCATGAAGTATCTGACAATTGGCTTGAATCATATTTGGAGTTACAGAGGAGTCCTTAGGATGTTAAGAACCACTGGCTGGAAACGGTTAGTGAGGATGGTTCAATAGCGAAAATGCATTCATTCTTTATGAACTGAGATCCATCAAACTTTCACTACTCCGCATTCGGTTATTCTTTTCCCTGTACATTCCCGTTTAGTGTTCCTACATTTGGGCGCTTTTACGAATTGTGAGAACTTCAACTGCTGAGGTTCCGTACACAGTTAGTTCTACGTGGAAAATTTAATCAACACTTTTTTGGAGCTGAATGTATACATTCCTTCTGAATAAGATTTGAACTCAGTATCTATCACTTCAGGGAATAAGATGATGAAGGTGATGTGGGTAGAGGAGAATGATGCTCAGGAAGGCTTCGTGTGCTTTTGGAAGTGTGTGGGCGGTTGTTACTTCCCGGCTGCCCACACTGTGGAAGTTGGTTGATTCTTCGGGTACCTGAAATAGAGAGAGGGTTAGTGTTGTGTGACCGCAGAGCCCAGGGGACAACTGCTTGAGGCCGGTCACACACGGCCTGTATGAACTGGTTTCTTGGTTTGGTTCCGTATTAGTAAACTTACCGCCGGTTACGGACCACCGTAGGGTAAGTCGGGATGCACAATTGTTGGGGTCGACCTTTTCTAACCCCCTCTCTCCAGAGTGGAGAGACAGCATAGCTGGCTGGCATGCTGGTCATCTGAGGGAAACACCTCACTGCTGTTACACCCCTGTTCCCCAGCAGTACGACTTCACCCACAGACCCTCAGCATAGTGTAAAAAGGATTCTTACACTATGCCGGTCTAATCGCTATCCTAACAACCTTCCTGGCATGGTAGGACCTGCAGGAACATTGGTTCCAGCCAGTATAGTTTGTTGGGTCATCGAGATGTGCAAGTCGAGGTAGCAGCTATCGGTTGGGATCTATCACTTCAAGTGCAAAGGGAGTATTTATTGTACACTGTATTATTAAGTCTCGATGATTAAGCATGCTCCTCAGAAGTTACTGCCACTCATTAATGTGACGGCACATCCAACTCACTGGTGTGAAAAAACTGGGATTGTCGGAGATAATAATAATACCGTTAATATTTCGAATTCTGTAGTCATATGTCACTTATATTGTTGTATGTTCGAAGAATTGATCTACTAACCATATGCATAAACATGTTAAAGCGTTCAGTATGGCAGCTTGTAAGTAATTTTTTGTGTATTATTAAATTAAGAATAGAACTTACTTTCACAGTGTCGAAAACAGAACATATCTCTAGCTTCTTGACGCACATATACCCTAACTAGTGAAGGGAATACAATTTACATTTGAATCAGAAAATGAACAAGGAGAATTGGCTATGTTAGATTGTAAAATCAAACGAACAGAAGAAGGCAAACTGCACACTAGCGTTTATAAAAAGCCAACGCATTCTGCTAATAGATATTTAGGCTTTAGTTCATTTTGACCGTTATGTGTAAAGGCTGGCTAACTTAACTGTCTAAAAAACCGAGCAATAGCACTAAGCAGTACAAGAAAAGACCTAAATGATGAAATAAAACAGGCAGAAGAAGTTTTGGTATCAAATAACAATCCTATATTAGGAAGATCAGAAAAGGCCAAAACAAAATAAAAATAATGGTGAAACTAGTAATGACAACATAAATAAGAGAGAATATAAGGCATCTACTGTTATACCATATAAGGAGGGGGACATCTGAGACCCTACGTGGTAGGATTCTCAATAAAGCCGCAATTAGGGTAATGTCATTGAAACCTACAAACTCACTCAGATAGGACAAGCTGTGTGAGTTAAAGGACCCAATTAGACAAAATAATATAATATAAAAAATACCTTGCAATGACTGAGTTGAGTCAACTACATAGGTCACACTGGTAGATCGGGTGTAGTCAGATTGTCGGAACATAAGAATTTAGCTAAGGTAAGAATGGTTGACCCCGAGGAGATAAGTAATTTAGAAAAGAGCTCAGCGATTGCACTCCATGCATTAACACAACAGCATGGTGGGAGAGGGTTAAAATTCCAAGAAGTAATCTATGTAGGTGGAGAGAGAGAGATTGATTACTGAATCCTGTTAAATGAGTCTGCACCCAACTCAACACATGCAACAGAAATGACTCAATGCAAATACCAGAGATATGGAAGATATTATTACCACCAGTCAGTCGAATCAGAGGAGGATAATAAATAATCTTAAAATTCTATTTCAATTCACGTACATCATAATATTCTAACAAGTTCTTTATTATGACTATAAAAACACTCGTCTTATTTCCCAAGTGATTGTATTTGATCTATAACACTCATATTTAGTGGTACGCATCTACCGGGGTTGGAATTCAAGGTCTTTCGGTTGAAAGACAACCTCACAGACCATTCAGTTATAGGGGCCCGACCCAACAATGGCTTATGAATTCCAATACCTAACAATCCGTGATTTTTTTAGTGCGACCATCACCAGCCAATGTCATCGACGAGTATTAGTCCTGACACCCGACATAGTAAACCCCACTGGCCATGACTCCTCACCAGAAATCCAGTCAAATTCGTCCTATAACCAGTCACTAGTGTGCACCAGATTAATTTATTTAGTATACTTAAATAATGTGAAAGGAATTTGTTAACGACTAATCAAATCTACCTTGGATTTGAAGATATAATTCAATAAATTATTTTGAGATCCTTACCAACAAAATATTCATTAATTAATTAATTTATTTTATTTTGATTTACAGCTTGATTCCACACCGTATTTTCAGTACAAGTGTGGAATTTTCAGCATGGATATCGGTAGCCCAAATTCAGGCCGACCATAGATATCGGGTGTGCGCCGGCAGGGGATCGAACCCCGGACCATGTGCATGGTCGGCGAGAGTCCTAACCACTGCTAATTGAAGTCCACTGCATTGAATAGGTACTAGATAAATTGAATTTTCAAGTGTCTTTCAGACAAAATGCACACATTTAGAAATTATTTATAACTTTCCAGACTACTTGGAAGAAATAAGTAGTCGGTAGCAATAACATTTCAAATTCATCACCTCATTAGAATTCAGTAAATTTATATGAGAAATGTACAAAATTAGAAGTGATTTTTAGAAGAAATTATTTCTAATCCCAGAAACGTTAATCTCCTAAAAGTTCTGTGCAACACATTCACATACAGATATGTATATCTATATGTATTTCGTCTGGAAGGTCCCCTAAAGATTTGAAACTTCGACAAATATTAATAATATTTTTTTCACGTCAGATTAAGAATATCAGTAGGAATTAGTTAATTTTCCTAAAAATTTTTTATTCAATCAAACAGTATTAATTAAATACGATAATAGCTTTCAATTTTCACACTAAATATCTTTCTCTCTCCTTTCTTTCCCCATTCTAAAACACTGAACTGATTCAATGTCACTTGTTTTAATGTGTAATTTTTTTTTACTCACTTTTTCAAACACTTTCTATTCACCCTTCAAAATGGTTGACATGTCTTTGTGTGTGTGTGTTTAATTTGACTAAAAGTTTTAATCACTTCAATCTTGTTCCCCCTCTTTTTTAAATTTCTGCCTTAATTCACTAACAGATTTCATGATTAATCTGATTCGCATCAATATCTGACGTCTATTCATCATCATTAGTTAAAGACGAAGATTTTGAATTATTTCTATTTCATTGTTGTTTCTTTTTAAAAAAATTTAAAAATCGATAATCATTTGGTTTTAGCAATGTATAAAAAAAGGGATTTTTATCTGTGTAAGAATCATTTGCCAAAACGGTAAATCAAGATAATTTTGTTATCTATTCTGTTTTTTTAAAAATTTTTTCAGCCTTAAGTTCAACTAAAGTTTATCAACCAACTTCGTGTAACGCTTATTGAGAAGGATTGTATTGATTTTTGTTTGATCGATAAAATTGAACTTGTTACTGTTCCCTTGGGTCCCGAGGTGAGCAATATTGAGGTTAGGCGACGAGTGCTAGGTAAGGCGGGGAAATCAATCGACGAGACTGTGAAATTACATCGACTGAGATGGTTAGGACATGTCCTACGTATGCCTAATCATAGCCTTTCTCGACGGGCAATGTTAGCTGACATAGGATTGATTAGGCTGGAAAAGAGCTAGTGAGTGGTGGTCAAACTAAAACATGGCACCAGTCAATGAAATTCACAACAGTTAGTCTTAGCTACGTAGGAAGGTGTAGACTTCCTGGTTGGGGTCCTCGGGATGGTAAAAACCAGTGGTTGGAAACAATTGGTGACATGGCTCAAAATCATTCTCAGTGGTGCAGATGCATCCACTCCTTGTGACTTATGATTTCCAATGAAACTGTTTTGTTCTTCGTTATTACTATTCCTTTGTCTCACACCTCTGTTTACTGTCTCTAATATGCATTTCTCCTACTTTCTTCTCTTGCTTTGTGTGCTACAAGGAGGGAGTGTGGCGACTTGAACTGCTGCACATCGGTGCAAAGTTCTATGTCGAAAACCGACCGACCGACCTTGGGTCCCGAG